TGTTTCGCATTCGGAAAATGTTATACTATAAATTCTAGAGAGTATTTCTTCCGTTTTTTTTCGTGTATCTTCTTCCATTCCATCGCAAGTCGCATTAAGTTTGTTGTTTTTAATTTGAAAACGCCAACATAATTTTCACCTTTTTTTCCCTTCGCATTCTCTCTTTCGCTTTGCCACATCCAAAAAAAGTTTATTGAATACGAAAAAAGCGGGCGGTTTCGTTGTGTATCGTTTGCAAACGAAGAAAATTACATAATAAAATGTATCTAAATTTATGCATTTTCCACTCATAATACACAGCAATTGATCGCGATAAGTTGAGCATTTCAGCGTGAAAATTTCATTTTCGTTTTGTTCGGGTGTTTCGGATTTGCTTTCGTTTTTCGCTCTCATTCAGCGTATCAGATTTTTTTTCTCCATTTGTTGGTTCTTTCAACCCTCTGGTTATTTATCTATGGCTGCCTCAAACCCGGCGCTCGTAACTGCCACTCAATTTCCATACATAATATGTAATGTATACACAGAAATATCATCGCGCGCGCACTCACACCGAAATGAAGAAAAGAAATATAGAAAACCGAATGAAAAACAGCGAGAAAAAAATCCATACACCATCAGGCCAACAGCAGCAGCAGCAGCAGCAACAACAACAGTCAAAGTGTACAAAACTGTTTAAAATTCTTAGATTGTGTCGGCCATAAATTTTGTGAACAAAGCGAAAATAATATAATATTATATGTTGAAATGCAAAAAGTAACATCAACAGCGTGGAGGAAAAGCGAGACACGAGAAAGCGAAAATATTGCAAAAATGAAGTGGGAAAAAAAGCAGAGAAGCAGGCGCGAGTGTATGGTGGTGTGTACGATGAAGACGAGACGGGCGTCGAAAAAAAGCGAAAATTATTATTCCACCGTATTTTACCATCATCACGAAAATACTACACAAACAATGTGGCCGCGCGCTTTGGCGCGTCCGAACCCAAGAAAAAAAAAACGAGAATAACAACGCAAAAAAACGAGCCAGAGCACCGAAAAAAAATATAGAAATGTGTGTGAAATGCGATATATCGAAGAGTGAGCGAGTGAGCGCGCGCGTTTGTAGATAAAGGAAAAATATAACACCCAAACGAAAAACCCAGAAAACTGAATTGAACAATAAAAAGATAGAATAACAATAAAAAGTTGAGGCAAAAGCGAACATATTTCAAAGCGCCACGTTCGTTCGTTCGTTCATGCTGGCGCATTCTCTTATCGATAGCAACCGATCCACCGAACGAATGCTTCTCGCCATTTTCCACATTGTTTTTGTATACACCAATTTTCATCTAATAATTCTTTCAGGATTTTTTTCTCTTTTGAAACTCTATGTCTTTCGCTCTTTGCCATTTTCCCGTCTCGAAGAACAATTCGCTTTTGCAATTTTGCTTCGCTGCCGAATGAAAAGCAATGTTATTGTCTTTTGCAGAGGTTTGCTCATGGAATCCTCTTTCACATTCTTCGAACTTTGAACCATTCGAAATTATGAACAATTAATTAAAGCTCGCATTGTGAGTCGCTCCAAGGAAAAAAAACTTTTAGAGAAAATATATCGAAATTTTGAAACTTGTTTGAACAAAATTATACACTATTTGCGTGCTTTCGCCGTGCACACTCTATCATCAACGCTCATTTCTCGATGGTGAATTTCCATTTTTCAATTACAAACTTTCGCTGCCAAAATTGGGTGAAATGTTGAAAAGATCGAATCAAAGATGGTGTTGAAGGTTTGACGCATATCGATGTCGTGTCTCTCGATGACCGGAAATTTTCATCATTCGCATGAACAAAGAGCGGTCTTCGATCTTAATTGGTTTTCACCATCGAAGCATCAACTTGCAAAATAGTTCTCGATTGCCAAAACTTTTTCTCCTTTTCTTATTGTTTGTTCGTCAGCAAAACTTTGCGCTTGGTTACTAAAGGAGTAATGGCGCCTGTGCCATTTTTCCTTGGCCATACATATCGAAATTTTTTTTATAACTTGTCTTATTGTTTGTCTATTGCAAGTTGGAATTTATTCCACGTTGGTTAATGTTGCTGTGTGTATTTTGCTAATTCGCTTAATTCGAACGCCTATAGACTAGGCTATGATGCGATGCGAACAGTAGCAATTACCGAATGTTGCTTTAGTTGCTATTAATTTTCGTAATATGTTCGAATCGGTTCGGTTCGGGATGGGAAGTGAAAGAAAATGCAGGTTTTGATTTTCATCACGTTCGATATGTATTTTTTCTCTTTCTCTCTCTCTCTCTCTCTCTCTCTCTGGATTCTTTTGTTCAGTTTTCTTCGTTTGCGATTCAGCAAAAGCTCGTAATAAGTCGCGTCTGTGTGTGTGTGTGTGTGTTTTGAGCGCGCAATTGTGATGAACATCCCAAATGGGAATAATCCACTGTGTCGGAGTAATTATTTGATGAGCTAAGCAGAAAACGTTTTGTACGTGACTTGTTGTCGTTTTGCGTGTTGCAGGCTCTCATGTTTTCGGGTTTTGTTCGTGGCGGGTTTGTCTTCTGCTTCTTCTTCCTCCACAAAAACCCAAAATCTATCGTTTATCCAATTCGATTAAATTATGCCAAGAAAATAAACGAACACATTCATTTCGCCGTGAGAGACAACGAGCACCAGCCGATCTTCGTTTCGATAAAAATATATTTTATCGAAACGTTTGTTTTCGACGAAATTCAAGGCGTTCAATCATGTTCAGAGAGGAAAAAAGAAGTTTCGAAATCCCAATTGCGAAAAAGGCTTTTCGTTTGTTTTTTTTTCCAATTGCAGAAATAAAAATCTCGCTAGAATCCATCGTTTCGAGATCCATTCCGATAAATCCTCCACCAAGAGAAAAAAAAAACATAAAGTCGAAACAGACAAACATTCTCTTCAAATGGTGTCAATAACCGTTACGTTTATGATCCAAAGTTCTGCGATATATGAATTGGTTTTTCGGATTTACCCTCCTACGTTATTTTCCATCACCAAAATTATTACCTTTTGTTTCGTTATTTCCGAATCGGGTTTTTTTTCTTTGTCTTTTTGACGCGCAGCCGTATACGCTGAACCCCGTCGAATTATGCCTAATCTCGACTGATAAGCATGGATTTGTTATCATACATTTATGTAACATGCCATATTCGATTCGGCACACGCAAAATAAAAAACCAACATCGGGCGTCGAGTCATTGCCGAACCGGAATGAAAACGAATAAAAATTGGCTTGAAAATCTGCTTTTCGGATTTAGTGTTGTTGGCGCTGCGCTACCAGGTCCTATTCCACCATAAGCCGTTCGAACAATGGCTTTGGCAATAAAACTCATTTAGATTTTGATCGTCAGGCAATAGCGAATAAACAATATTAAAAATGGTGTCGCCTATATTCAAACAACCCCTTGGTTGTTTTGTCCTATCGCCGCAGCAAAATAAAAAGCGATTATTATAAAAAAAGATTTTTTTTCCACGTTTTCTCGGCTCCCCTCCCTGTCTTTGGTGGAGCTGAAATGGGTTTTCCATACATATATACACATCGAAGCAATATTCGGTGCCGTTTCGTTCGTTTAACCACATTAATCTCGAATAAAATATACTCCTTATCATCAGCGACAAGCGCTGTGCAATACACGCTATTATTTTGCTAGCTGGAAAATTGTTATGAAAATGTGGTGATTTGTGCTTGGTTGTGTGCATTTCTGGTTGCTTCGCATACATATGACGGCGAAGTCGGTCTCTCTGCAGAATATATCGCACATTACGGTTATTATAGAGTCGACCGTATATTTACGTTTTTTTTTTCGTTCCCGTTTTTGTCATTTTCCCGATGAGCGTGTATAAATTTAATCTGGAAAATTGCTGCTATGAACTGAGTATTAACGACGTTATCGCTCGGATAGAGAGAAAAAAAAGAAGAAGTAAAAGCAGGCTAAAAGGCGGTGAACAACACATGTGCACCGCTTTTTATCGGCAAGCGCGCGCTCATTCGTTCCATTTGCCAATTATGGGGTATTGCGAGCAAGAGAATGAACGAACTATAGTCTGAGTCGAACGTACGCACGGTGTCGTACATTACGGTTTTTGGGTGACGGCAGCGGTGGTGGTGATGTTGGTGCTTGTGCTGGTGGAGGATAGCATAACGATTTTCCATCGCACTGTTATGTGCACATCGAACGAGGGGTTAGACACGGTGTGCACAAGACTCGACTATGTATTGGGCATTGTGATGCGGTTGTGAGCGCGTGTGCTTCGCTTTTATTTTCATTGCGACGATTTTATTCCTTGCGATATCGAAGTGGAAAATATGATTTAATTTCATATTTCGACCGCTCCGATAGGATTTTCCCGTCACGAGCACTCGAACCAAACACCGTAGACACGCCTATTCAGAGATTGCGTAATACAACATCATTCTCACCCACACTGCACTGCACCGCACATGATGTGGCCTGTTATGATTTTGTGGTTTCATAAATTCGCCATTTTTTACCACACACAAACACACACATTTCTCGATGGGCTTCGGCCCGACTTTTCATTGGTACTTGAGCCATTTATGATTTTGGATTTTCATCGACGACGCCATTTTCATATCACCATGGATTTTCTTCTATAGAGAGACGTGATACTCGAAACTTATTGAAAAGATTTGTTAAGGGGCCAATGAATTTGTTCCGAAGAGAGTTCCGATTGGACATGGTAGAACAATTTTCATTTAATTAAATGACTTGAAAGAATTAATTCTATTTTGAACTTCAAAATTGTTCATTTTTCAACACGAAAAAAAAACCGATAAACTCATTTTCATTCAAAACTCAGGTATTTTCAATTTCATCACCATAATCATAAATTTCGCCTTAAAATAATCACAAATAATAAATTGAAAATGCACATTTTTCATAAAAAGCACACTTCTCTTCATTCCTAGCTTAACATTCAAGTAAAAATCAATATTCATCGTTTTAAATTCGCACTCCAAACTGCAAGTCATATGATTTCCAAGTGAACATCTCTAAAATTCTCTACATATTTGCTTTTGTGTTTTTCGAATAGTTCTGTGAGTCTCCTACAAAACAGCGCATGGGTTTCATTTACTTCAGTTTCGCTTGGGTTTTGAATTTTCTTCAGATGTATCGGTGCACCGATGACTGTTGTAATTGGGTGTTTTCTCGGAAGCAATCCAAATTTACACTGCAGATACCCTCGGCCATTATAATGTATCGGAGTAACGTTTGTGTATCGTTTAAATGTGTCTTGAAAAACTCTCATCCACGAACCGGGCTTATAATCGACTATTTCGTACATATTGTTCTCACCATACGAAATGGCCGGCACGAGCGAGCCACCTGTTTGTAATGCGATTTTAACGAATCCCTTGCGCCTCTTTAGATAGCATTTGTATGCATTTGGATTCGTATAGAACGCTTCACGAGCACCGCCAACTATTAAACCGACCCCATTTGATGTGTATCCATCATGATTCGACTCATGATTGGGGTCATTTGACTGCTTTAGTAGCGCCTGCAATGAACTTGCCGATGCTGAACTGAAACCACAACTTAGGAGTATTTCACGCTGAACCGGCATTAGCATTGTAAAACCAAGTGTCGTACATTTTGGACGAATTCCAGGAAAGAGCGTCGACCATTTGGAGTGATTTGAGCTAAAGTTTGCACCGGCTCCGAGGCTAAAATCGAGATTTTTCCATTACTTCTTCCGTCAATTTATTTATTGGTCTTTATTTATTCTAGGAACAAGTTGCATTTTGGCCCAAATCAAAATGTCCAAAAATTCATTTATTACCTAAGCCATCCATGTGGAAAAACACAGAACAAATAGTTTCGATCCGGTGGCAAATCAACAGTTTTGACCAAATCAATTGGGAAATAATCCAAACAATATTTCCACACACCCATATTTCTTATCAATGAAAACCTGAAATTGTAAGGCCGTTAAGTGTCTCGAAAATTCTTCTTTTTGAACGATTTTTCTTTATTTACCCAACGCCACGGCCACCTTGATTACCAGTCTGTCGGTCATAGTAAATGAAGGCTAAATACGACAAGCAAATTACTTTGATGTAAAAATTACCGATATACTGAAATTGAAAACAGAAAATATTTGAAAATTCTTGAAAAAATTTAAATTTTTGAATTGATATTTCATCATTTAGATGATTTTGTTCTGGTTCATAGTAATCAACCGTTGGTGTGATGATAATTTTTCATTTTTCAAAAACGAAAATTGAACATAGAAATTACAATCAAGAGAAAAATAACAAAGGTACAAATTGGACCCAGTGCAATTTCACAAAACACAATAAATCCAACGCTGAGCAATTCCAAATGGCGATACATCGGTGTATGGAACCATGGCATCCCGTCTATCACCATTTTTATGCAATTTGAAATTGGGGTCTTGCTCTACAAAAAGTAATTCGATCTTCCAGTCCAACGAAACACTTTTCTTCACCAAGCCAAAGAAAATAATCAATGGCTATTGCACACGAGCCAGAAAAAGTAACTGATTTCGAGTGTAGAAAAAACGTGTGCAGTAGACATTAGACATAATAGATGATAGGCATTATTTGTTTCAAACTGCTATCATTTGCAGTAATGACGGCGGCTTCAACGTTGCACTTGGTCAATATAAACGGTGTTCCAAGGTTCGAACAATACGAACAAAAAAATGAATAAAGCAAATGGCAAGATTCAAATGGCAAATGAGTTTAAACAGCAAATGTACTATACGGCACATGACTGTAGTCGAAAATATCTATTCTCGAAATGGGCGATCATATCGTTGAATGCATTTTTACATTGTAATCTTTATGACAATGATTGAAGTTCAAATAATCTATAATTTTGCGATTAACGATGCACGCAACCATCTACAAAGTTGTGCTCGTTTTCGTCTACTTTCGATCATATGTCGCTGATTTGCGCAGATCACATGCCCTCAATCAGTCAGAGAACAGCAGATAAGAACTCTATTTTGCTAACAAAAGAGAAGATGTGCAACGGAAAGTAATTGATTTGTGTGATTTAATTCAATTGACTTACATCAGAAAATAGTTTCAATGCTTTAAATCAAATGAAACCAGTGACGTTGTTATGGGAAATTGTTGACATTGAAAAATCGGCTGAAGAGGTGAAGAAAACGGAATTTTGTTTAATGAAAAAAAGTATAGACAAAAATTAATACAAATGAAATGAGAGAATTGTAATAAAAAAAAGCGGCAAAATTTAATAAAATAGAGCGAAAAAAATGAAGAAAATGTCTTCGGCCATTGCTTACCGAATATTCCAACGCCATGAAATGTGCCAAAGAAATAAGAATCATCATCAAAAGTGTCGTTCTCATAGCAACGGCATTCGCGATGGAGAGAATATTCACTTAAGCGATTTAATTAAACTTAATACGAAAATTTCTATTTAATTTTCCACATTCACGCAAAATGATATTATAATTTCATTATACGTCACTATACCATTCCCGGAAATGCTGTCATAATCTCGAAATATTTCAGCTGAAGCAAAAAAAAAATCGCATTGGCTTTGCGTGCTCGTATGCTTGAAGGGAGCGCGATTTTCCCGCATTTCTGGATAATTTCAGCTCATTTCTCATTATGTTCTAGCACTTAAGTATGGAATTTCGCCTCCCATTCAACGAACGAATTCATTAAACTTTATCAATTATAAAATTTTATGACACAATTATATAATAAGATCCAAGTCGGCGCGCACAACGTACGACTGCTATTATTATAATCTCTATAATTAATGAACGAATTTTACCGTCAGGGGTATTTTCGTCATCATCGTTTTTCGTCGCTCTCTTCGACATTGTGTGACAGAATGGCGTCTTATCCTTCATTATTCTCAAGTTGTCGGGTTGACGCTTTAGCAGAGTCGGTTTTAATTGTATTTTTAACAAGCGCACACAATGAATGTATATATGTGTGTGTAGTATAATAGCAATGTTGAATATGAAATGAAGGAAAATTGTTGATTTGATGTGGATTTTCAAGTGTACGTCTTAACCTTTCCGAAGAAACGCCACATTCATTGCGAAATGAATCTAGCCCAAAATGACGACCCGAATTTCATATTCTGAACATGAATTGTTGTCATTGGGATTTCAAACTCTTCAGTCTTTGTTTCGTAATTTTGACGTTCGAAATGCGGGCATTTGTTTCACTGTCTTCATCGCAAACATGAGATGATCAAATATTTATTCGAAGCTTTATTAAATTATAACATTTTCAAAAGTTCGAAAGGTTGAAGAATTGGGCTAAAATGGCTTCCCTAACGAATAATAATTCTCTGAAATATCGATTTTTGACATTAGATCAACGACTTGGAATGAATTTCGTTTGATTTAGCTGTGAAATGGGAGAGCTTGATTTAGCTGGAAAGAGAAATTCCATGAAATGTTCCTTTGGAGTGACGAATTAATTTCGAATGAACATGATTTGAATGAATGTCAACTGACTGGTGAGCTAAGAACATATCAGACATTTATATGGTTTCACTGTCCAATCCGTGTAAAATTTATAATCAAAACGAACGAAAAAAAATCATCTTTCTCAAAATGATGTTTATTTCCAAGCCTCCTCGAAGTCCTAAAATATGCTTACATATAATCATCGCTCCAAATACCGTCTCGCCTTTTTCGTAAACAATACATATCCTCCTTGCACAAAATGTACCGTCAAGAATGCAAACAATGGCCCATTGAACGAGACAAAAAAATGTCTGCGACCACAGAACTTCATTATAAAATGCGAACCGGTTGAAATGAGACAGAACGAGATTAAGTTGTTTGGTGCAAGCGAATGAATTAAATGTAACCCTTTTTGAGTTTGGTTCTGATAACAATTCTATAAAGTCGGAAAATCTGATTGTTATCTTCTTCTTTTCTTCTCAGTCTCCCTCTCCTGTGTTTGGTGTGTAACATTTAGACATCCCAGAAGACAATCAACCGTTACGCTTGCACCAGCAAATATATTACAATCAAAATGAGAGAGCGAGAGACAAAACGCAAAAATCTGTGAATTGTAACACGGTAAAACCAGCCCAAGATGGTAATGTGTTTTGAAAATAAATTCAAAAGTTTTCCATTAAACGAACTCCGGGTGATGCAGAAAGAGTGAGAGAGTGAGAAAAAAAAGAGCGAAACTCAAGCGATATCTTGAAAATTACAATTTTTTTTTTCGCTTTTCTTTTTGGCATCTGTTCATTTGACTTATTCCCAATGCGTTTGGGGTTTTTTTCTTTCTACACTTGTTATGTCGTTCAACCATTGTGCGCACATTTTTTTCCGCTCTCGCCGTTGGTTGGACGATGGAGTAAAAAGAATTTTTAATTACGGCTTACAATTTCTCAGAAATTAGACGATTCAACGAAGTGAATACTGTGACAATAACACACAAAAGTACGAATAAATAAAAGGAAAACCGGGGAAAAAGTCATCGGTGCGATAAGAAATGAAGTTAACGATATATTAGTGAATGGTTGCTGCTGTTGTTGTTTTTGTTGGGCGCAGTGTGACACTGCTACCTTCTCTATCTCTCTTGCTCTTACTCTCACTCCTCCCGCCGAGAATTGTCCGTGGCGAGAGGGTGAAGCAAATTTTATGGTAGACAGCACATAATTAAAGGCAATGCACGGCAAGTTTCTACTTTAAAAGTGAGTCCGAGAGAAACAGAGAATTCCTTTTCAAAATGAAAGCCAAGAAGAGAAAAGAGAAAAAAAAATGCGATTTCGAGACTATAGAAAACCAGAGATGAAGAAAGTGAGATAGACAAAAAAAATACAATAATTCCACAGATTTCTTATTATTTTTGTACTAGAGCGATCAACACGAGAAAAAAAAGAACCATCAAAGCAATGGAGCAAATGAAGAAAGCGAAAAAAAGAGAAGTATATGTAAGACAGGAAACTCGTATGGTGTGCGAGCACCGAGCACACCGAATGGTGAAAGCGAGAAAGAGAGCGCGATGACCGATCCACCGACCGAAAGAAAAACAAACTCAGGCAAATAATGTGAAAGTAAAGAAAATCTTTTAATTGCATCTCTTCTGCTTTTAGTCCATTCTCGTCGGTTCTCTCCCTTTCCCTCTCTCTCTCTTTCTCTCTCTCTCGTGTTTTTTTCTTTCTATCGTTTTTTCTGTCTTATTCACAATTTCTTTCATTTCTCTGCTTTTGGTCTCTGTGTGATGAGCTTTTTTTTCGGTGGGGTAGTGGTTGTTGTCGGTTTTTTTTCTCTCTCTCTCTCTCTTCTCTGTTTGTTTTCGCTCCGCTCGGAGGAAAATTTATAGCTTATGGAAGTTTTTATTGTTAATTCCATTTTAAACCACGCGCATTTTTATTTTTCGTGTTACGGCGGTTGAATTGTAGCTGGTTGTTGGTCATTTGCCGTCTTTTCTCTTTATTTGCTTCTTCGTTCATTACGGACAGCAAGCCCGAGGGAGGATGATGGTAGCGGCAGCGCGGCGTTCGGAGTGCATACAGAAAAATATGTAATTACAAACAATGTTTGAAAGGAGAAAAAGGGAGGAAAAATAATGAAATTAAAGAGAAAATGTTTCATTGTTCTTGGTTTTGTTGTTATTGTTGTTGTTGTTGGTCTTGTCTTTTTTTTACGGGTTCTATCTTCTCGCTTCACATAATCCATTCCATTGGCTGTCACCTAAAAACTCTGTACCTTCAAAAAAATTTCCA